GAATTTTGGTGCGACAACTGTAGTGGCCAAAATAAAAATTTGAAACTATTTACATCATTTGTAGTAATTGCTAATTCTAATTGGAGTCCTCAAAGTATCACATTCAAATATTTTGAGCCCGGATATTCCTATATGAGGGCCGACAGTGTCCATGGAAATATTGGCAAGTCGTGGAAAAAGAAAAGCAACATATATGACATGAACGAACTAAATGAACTAATATTGAAAACGTCCCGAAAAAATAAAACACTAATAATGAAACATGATGATTTTTACAACTTTAAAGACGGCGCAAGACAAAGAAAAAAGAACGATGAAACTTTCCCAAAACTTAATGTAATTAAAGTAGTGCAGTTTAGAAAAGGCTCAAGGCAAATGTTTTTCAAGAAAAATCACAACGATAAAGAATTTATTACTACAGATTTTTTAAAACCAAAATTTGACCTTGAGATGCCTGAGAGCAAAATTCAAGATAGAGGTATAAATCCTAAAAAAATTGAAAAAATTATTCAGGATCTTGTTCCGTCAATGCCAACTCAAAAAAGGCTGTTTTGGGAAAAATTACGTGTTTCGGAAACATCCAATAACTTATTAAATAATCGAATTTAACTTTTAATATTTTATGTATTTTCTTAATATTTTCTTATATATTTACTTTTTATAATTACATTTTCTAACCACTACAAATCTGTCTACTCTTTATTTAAAAATGTTTTACCTAGTTACATAAACCAAAAGTCGAAACAAATTTTACAGCAATGGCCAATACTAGCTTTTTCCTTGGCAAAAGTCTTGTATATTTATTTAATAAGCAAGGATACTAGCTTTTTCCACAGTAAAATGAATACTTATTTGTAATAAAAAAATAGTAGGTAACATAAAACTAACAAAAATCAAGTTAAAAAGAAAACATAGTAATAAGGGCTTAGGTACCTTTAAAACCTGTCCCATCCGAAAAAAAAAAACAAAAATTATTTAAAGACAGAAAGGTGAACATTTTTCCTTCTTTTCCGTTTCCTGAAAAATCATCAAAAATCAGTTACTAGGTTTTTCCTTTTCACGGGAGTAATGTGGTGCTGGCCATACAAATTTAAAAAAGAAAATATTTGACTGGGATTTTTTTGAGGGTCGGCTCTTTTCTGTAAAATAAATTTTAGCAGTGTGTGGTTAAAGATATTTTATAGTTGAAGGATATGGGTAAAAAATACATATATGGTCTTTTTAATGTATTCTACCTTCATAGGTTCCAGTCAAAATCAGGCGCTCCGCTGAATCCATCCACATTGTCGTCCATGTCCATGCATGCAATCGTTCGGAATTAAGTGCTCTATCTTTGGACGACCCCTTTGTTTTTCTGATATCTATTTCAGCATACGTGTTGTCTTCAATATTTTGTTTTTTCAGAAAAATTCAAGATGGTTTTCTTTATCAAGAAGTATCTTACGTGTTTTTTAACAGAACTTTTTTATTACAATTACAATTTAGTACAATTATAATTAAATAAAAAATACGTGTGGCACTTGGGGGCTGCCGCGGTAAAGCTAGTGCATAGCATTTTTTATCAACTTATGCAATTATAATTATTTATTTATTTAATTTATGCAGTATTTTTTCTTTGATATTACTTCTAGTTTTTTCTTTGATATTAATTCAATTTACACTTTTTGAGCGTGGTGACCAATAAGAAAACAAATTTTTTTCTTTGAGAAGTTAATATTGTTTAAAATATTTTTATTATCTTACAATACATGTAGGTTATTCACAAATTTTTATCATTGAAACTATAGGTTTATGGTAACTGAAATAAGAAACATAAGTTTAAAACTTGATATCCTCTAAATATCTGGAAAATACCGCGTCAATGGTGGTCCCATATTTTGTTGTGGATTCTTGTGGATCATTATTCATTTTCAAACTTAATTTTTCCGAAATTGTGTCTAAAAGAGATAGAATCAGTTATGAGCAGTTAGCAGTTAGTCTACACGTATACGTATAGTCGCACGCACACAAACACCGTGCCGAAGTCTGCCGAACTGAAACGACGTTAGACGATGCACGGCTTTCAACGCGCACCGCTGTGCCGGTCGGAGTGGGAGGTGTTAGGTTTATTTTCGTTACGGAATTTCTTTTTCGAATTTTCGATTTTACGATTTTTGGATTTGTAAATTTTTCGATTTTTCGATTTTTCGATTTTTCAATTTTTAGAATTTTTGATTTTTAGACTTCCATTTTTCGATTTTTCGGTTTTTCGATTTTTCGGTTTGTCGATTTTTCGAGGGTTTTTGGTTACAGAATTTCTTGATTCGGTCGCCGCGCTCAAAGCCCGCGATAAAATCAATGTAATAGCTTAATAATGAAATAGTTAACACTTATAATATAAAAATTATTATTTTATAAATCTTGCAAAAAAATTAATATCTAATATTTACGCCAGCCGGGAACATTTCTGATACCACTTTATTAGAAGTCAGAGAAAGCTCTTCTAGTTCTTGTATTGCATAAACGTTCCAGTCCGCAGACGTATATTTAACTCCGCTTAAATCACATAGGATTCGAATCCAGGATTCGAATCCTTTTTGAGGATCCGAGAGCGGGATTCGAATACTTTAGAAAAAAAGGATCCGTGATCCGGATTCGCAGAGAAAATCTTAAAGGATTCGTATTCGAATCATCAATATCAGTCTCGGATCCTTTTAGAGACCAAACTACGCCGGCGCGAACGGCCGACTCAAGCTTTGACTTGTTGCGAATTGTAAACTAAAAACAGACTGAGACTGAATAGAAAACCGATGTGTTTTGCGTTGTGCACGATTACAGAATTAACAAATAATCTGATATAGATCCTCAATACAGGTAAGTGAAAAAAAAATATATAATATTTGGAAACCATTAACGAAGAGAGCTCTGATACCGGCAAGGAGGTCATTTTTTATTCAGACAATTGCGCCGGTCAAAATAAAAATAAGTTTATGGTGGCATTATATTTATACGCTGTCAGAAACTTTGACAAAATACATTCGATAACACATAAATATCTCATCACCAGCCACACACAAAATGAAGGAGATACGGCTCACTCTCTAATAGAGAGGCAGATGAAAAGACAACTTAAAGGTGGGCCCATGTACACCCCTGAGGCATTTATCTCTGTGATCCGCTCAGCTAGAAAAGCAGGAGAACCATTCAGAGTCCATGAAATGAGTTACGAAGACTTTTATGACTTGAAGTTGTTTAATTCTGACTTTGGCCCTATTACTTTAACAGGAGTCAAAATGACAGAAATAAAACTTCTTAAAGTAACCAAAGAAAAACCAAACTCAATTCTTTATAAAACTTCATTTGCAGATGACGATTACAAAGAAGCAATTGTAATCAAAAAGAAAAAACCTGTAGTTATTGAGTTTAAACCAGCCTTTATTTTCAAAACAAAAATTTCTGAGGAAAAAGGAAGACCTAATGGATTTAATAAAAAAAAACACATTCCTTCTAACTACAAATACTTTTTTGAAAATCTATAATTAAACTTAATGTCATTATTTATTATCTGCATAGAATTATTATTTATTTTCTTAAATTTAGTTTTATTGTTTAATGCGTAAGATTTTGTGTTTTCTTTTAAATAAAGCTCTTTTTATGATTCTTCAAATTGTTTTATTTTTTGCTTATTATATTCGGATTTCTAAAAGAATGACAAAAAGAAATGATGACATAAAATAATATCTTTTTATATTCTGCAATAGCGTCATATGTTTATTAGATACAATATTAATTATAAAATTGTTAACAAGAATGGCATAACTCAAAACAAATTGTCTTTTTGCCACTTTATGATCACTACTAGGCATTCAATTGTCTCCTTAAGTGAACACTATCATGCCAAAAACCCCAATTATATTATCAATACAAAGTAAAAATAGAAAACTTTGAAAATTAAAACTCTGTTTTCTAGAGAACTACGAATTTCCAGTTAATTCGTTATTGCAGCAAATGAGCGATATGGAGTATTAAAAATTAATAGCATACATCCTAAATTTCAGGTATTGGGGCTAAACATACGCAGTCTTAACAATAATTTAGATGAATTTAAAATTTTACTTCAAAATTTAGACCATGATATAGATAGTATAATTTTAAGTGAAACAAGAGAGATTTTAGATCAAAATTTATTTAACATATAAGGTTATACATTAATATATAACGAAAGTAAATTTAATCAATGCGATGGACTTGTGGCTTATATCAAATCAGATCTTAGATGTAAATATAAAATAATAGAGATTTTTAACAATATCAACATATTACAAATCAATATCAATCTCGAATCAGATACGACTATCTCCATAGTAGCTGTATACAGATCTCCAAATTCCACTGTGCACATACGGCAATTATCCCTATTTAGCGCATATGCTTTATAGTGCGAAACCGCCCACTTCGTATATTTTTTTTACGATTATTAAAATTAAATATTTTGTGTTTTAGGACAAATATGGGTAAAAGATCACGTTCCAGATCGAGAGAAAGACGACCGCAAAAGAGGTCTCGACATAATTTAAAACGAGAGATCTAGCGCCTGAAGGGAAAATTAGAACGACGACGTTCGTGTTCCTACTCAGAGTCGGCCATTTCTAGAAGCCCCTGTAGGGTTTCTTGTACTCCGACATCGAGACGATCCAGTTCGAGACCATCTCAAAGTCCATTGAGGGCTCATTCAAAAGACCATCACCATGTCGATATGGTAAAAATGTCTAGAAATCCTTCAAAAGACCATCACCCTGTTGGTATGGCAAAAACATCTTAAAATGTTGAAAGCATCCAGGTTCAAGCTGATGTGCATACTGCAGCAGATGACTCTGTTAGTGAGTTTTCAGAACCAGAGATTTCTATAGCGAGGAGTCTCTTTATTGATTCTGATATCGAGAATGCACAAATCGATACTCTCGTGGATGAAGGGAAGCTTGAACATTCAATACTGAAAATTCTAGGAATGGAAGAAAAGTCTGGGAACCAATATGAGCTACACACAGTGATGAGGAATTGTTGGTTGAAGACAATTGAAACAGGCCTACAAAAAGAGGAGAAGACTTATGTTCTTACTAAGTATGGATTACCTTGCAATCTATTGGAGCTTGAAGTCCCCGAGTTAAATCCTGAAATAAAAGCAGCCTTGACTGACTTTACAATTAGGAATGACATGTTCCTAGAAAAGAGGCAGACTCAACTTGGTAAAGGCTTGTCTATTTTGGGATCTGTTCTGAATATTTTGATAAAAAATGAGCCAGTAGAGGGGGAGACCAGAGAGGAGATTTTATTAGCCCTGAGTGGTTCAGCCAAATTTTTTTGTGATTTACACTACCGAATGTCCTTGTCCCGTAGATCACAAATAATGCCAGCATTAAACAACAAAGGTATTAAAGAAGTCCAAAAAACGCCTAAAGGACGTTCCTTATTTGGCCCTAATGTAGGGGAAAAAATAAAAATGACACGAGTTTTTGGAAAGATCTGAGAATGTTTTTCGACAGAATCCCATTCAAAAACCTAAAACGAATTTAAACTTCAGGGCCCCAGCGAGGTATCAGAGGGAACCTCAACGAAAAGGGGCATACCCTCAAAGGCAATACAACCATTACAACAAGGACAAGAAAAGAGAAAGGACAAAAAAATAGAACAGGTAAATATAGGTGGACGATTACAATATTTTTACAATGAATGGTCTACTCTTTTATGCATTACATCTGATGTAGAAAAATGTCTAAATGGTTATAGAATTCCTTTTTTTGCACAACCCAGACAAACTGTCACATTTAAGACATCATCACAAAATAATAGATCTGACATACTTTTGGCACTGTCATAATTAATTAAGGAAGGAGCTGTATCTCCTTGCAAGCTTTCATCGGGCCAATTTTTATCAAATAATTTTTTGGTAGACCAAAGTAATGGAGATAAGAGGTTTATTTTGAACCTAAAAAAATTGAATACTTTTATTAAACCACCTCATTTTCAGATGGAGGATAGCAGAATAGTCTTAAGGCTTATCAAATTAAATTTTTTTATATGCACTCTTGATCTTAAAGATGCATACTTTCTAATCCCCATTCATTTTTCACATAAAAAATTTCTAAGATTTACAGTAGGGACCAACTTTTATCAATTTAATGTAATTCCTTTTGGTTTGTCAATAGCGCCATCACTTTATACAAAAATTATGCGACCTGTAGTAGGAAAATTTCGAGAAAATGGGGTGGAATGTGTTATTTACCTAGATGATTTTTGGATCATGGGGAATACGAGGCAGGAATGCGAGATATCAATAAATTATACTTTGGATTTGCTTAAGTCGTTAGGGTTTATTATTAATAGAGAAAAAAGCAATTTATTGCCAACTCAAAAGTGTACTTATTTAGGTTTCATATTCAATTCTGTGGATATGACTTTAGAAATAACTCTTGAAAAGCGACAAAAAATATTAAAATGGATCAAAAGATTAGAAAATAAAATACTAACAAAATAAAATATTTTGCCCAATTTATTGATATCCTTGTTGCAGCCTGCCCTGGATTCAAATATGGAAAACTTTATACAAGGATATTTGAACGTGAAAAATTTAAAGCACTAATAAAATGTAACCAAAATTATGAGGGACAAATGACTTTATCAAAGGCAATAAAACAGGATTTAAAATGGTGGAAAAAGCAGGCCCCTCTGGTAAAAAATAATATAAGACAGGACCGTTTTTCATTAGAAATATACTCAGACTCGTCGAAGACTGGGTGGGGAGCATACTGCAATGGCAATACAACCCATGGGTGGTGGACAGCCTCATTTGCTACAAAACATATTAATATTTTTGAATTGCTAGCCGTTTTTTATGCTTTAAAGTGTTTTGGGAGTAATTTAGAAAATACAAACATTTTGTTGAGAGTAGATAATACAACTGCAATTGCTTACATTAATAAGATGGGCAGTGTTCAACACGTTGAATTAAATAAAGTATGTAGGCAAATTTGGCAATGATGTGAAAACAGGAATCCGTGGATTTTTGCTTCATATATGGTATCCATTGAAACCGAGTGGGAATTGTCTCATGCAGCTTTTTCCTTAATTAAAACCCAATTAGGTACTGCAGAAATTGACTTATTTGCCTCTAAATCAAATCACAAATGTGAAAGGTATGTTTCATGGCACAAAGATCCTGACTCGGTTGCAGTGGATGCTTTTACATTTAGCTGGGAAAGTATATTTTTCTATGCTTTTCCTCCTTTTTTCCTTAATTTTCAGAGTTCTTAATACAATAATAGCTGATAAAGCAGAAGGCATTGTTGTAGTGCCAGATTGGCCCACTTAAGTTTGGTATCCATTGTTTCAAAAACTAGTTTCTTCAACTAAGGTAGTGTTAGAACCAGATATTACATTACTTTCTTCTCCTTTTAGACGAGAACATCCTCTACATTCCTCACTTTCCCTGGTAGCCGCAAAATTATCTTGGAATCACTGAGAAAACAAGGTTTCCCAGAAGATACCATAGATACGACTCTGCAGTCATTATCAAAATCTACGATTAACCAGTACGATTCTTCCTTCAGAGCTTGGTGGACATACTGTCAAAAATGGGATCATGACTTATTTAATTCAAGCGCTTCAACAATCTTATCCTTCTTACAAGAGGAACTAAAAAATAAGGGCAGTAAATATGGCACACTAAATCAACATCGATCAGCGTTGTCACTGATTTTACCAGGTGAAGTAGGTAAAAATATGCAAATTAAAAGATTCCTGAAGGGAGCTTACAGACTGAACCCTCCACGACCTAAATATAAAGTTACTTGGTATCCTCAAGTGGTTTTACAATATCTAGAACAACTGGAAAACAATTATGAATTGTCATTATTTGAGTTATCTAAGAAACTTGCCACGCTTTTAGCTCTTGCAACAGGGCACCGCTTGCAAACACTGCAATTAATAAGAACCGAAAATATAGTTTTCACTGCGACCGGAGTAAGAATATTTATATCTGACAATATAAAAACATCAAGACTGAATAGTTTTCAACCCTGTTTAGAAATGGCTTATTTCCCTGATAGGTCTAAGATATGTGTGGTCTTCTCATTAATTGCCTATGTGGAACGAACTGCGGAATTGCGGATAACCCAAGAAGATTCGCTTTACCTTTTTATTAGATCAACAGAACCATATTCAAATGTTTCAAGAGCTACAATAGCAAAGTGGATAAAAGCTACTTTGGCGGCAGCAGGAATTAACACACAAATATTTGGGGCACACTCCACACGACATGCCTCTACATCAAAGGCCTTTGAACAAGGTATATCTTGGGATCAAATTAGGACAACAGTTGGTTGGTCTGAAAGTTCCTTGGTATTTGGAAAACCGATAATGTCTAAAAGTTTCAATGAAGCTGTTTTTACAATAACTGAGATATGTCAAAAGGCTATTAGGCCTACGATTATAGTTTTGTGATTATTTGTTTCTTTATAATATATATTTAAAAAAAGCAATATTTTATTGTTACTTTAAACATCTACAAAGTTAGTTCGATCGTAATTATGATAAGCGCCTCGCCGAATAGATCACTCCCCCCAAAAAATCAAGACATAATTCGTTCTCTGACAAAATTTGACGATTGAAAATACCCGCCACTTTTTAAAATATTGCAAAAGTAAAGCATAATGAAGAGTCAGGGTTACCACCATAGTAGGTACCACATGAAGGCAAGTGATACCACAACACGAAATAACTTCTTTGAATTTCCTCTTTCGACCTTTCGGGTTTCTCAGGTTTACCCCTAAACGGTTTCACGTACTCTTGAACTCTCTCTTCAAAGTGCTTTTCAACTTTCCCTCACGGTACTTGTTCGCTATCGGTGTCGTGGTTATATTTAGCCTTAGATGGAGTTTACCACCCACTTAAGGCTGCACTCTCAAGCAACCCGACTCTTTCCCGGTGGTGGATATCGGCCACGGGATACGGTTCTGGGCTTTTCCCTGTTCGCTCGCAGCTACTGAGGGAATCCTAGTTAGTTTCTTTTCCTCCGGACATCGAAGGATCAAAAAGCGACGTCACTATGAACGCTTGGCCGCCACAAGCCAGTTATCCCTGTGGTAACTTTTCTGACACCTCTTGATGAAAACTCTTCAAAGCCAAAAGGATCGATAGGCCGTGCTTTCGCAGTCCCTATGCATACTAAACATCGGGATCAAGCCAGCTTTTGCCCTGTTGTTCTACGTGAGGTTTCTGTCCTCGCTGAGCTGGCCTTAGGACACCTGCGTTATTCTTTGACAGATGTACCGCCCCAGTCAAACTCCCCGCCTGGCTGTGTCCTCGAATCGAATCAGGCTGGAGGTAAATTGATGCACGAAACGCAGCACGCATACATCGGCCGTCCCAACGGCACGAAACCGCTAGACCTAAACCAACGCACGGCACTACGCAACGAAACGCCACTCCGTACCCTTGGCTCGAGAATACCGTGAGAGTCGCCGCCTGTGAGAGAACGACGCACGAGTCTCGCCTTACCGAGTAAGTAAAGAAACGATGAAAGTAGTGGTATTTCACCGGCGATGTTGCCATCTCCCACTTATGCTACACCTCTCATGTCTACTTACAATGCCAGACTAGAGTCAAGCTCAACAGGGTCTTCTTTCCCCGCTAATTTTTCCAAGCCCGTTCCCTTAGCAGTGGTTTCGCTAGATAGTGGGTAGGGACAGTGGGAATATCGTTAATCCATTCATGCGCGTCACTAATTAGATGACGAGGCATTTGGCTATTTAAAATATTTATTTATACAAAATACATGTGCCTCGTTTGCAAAGGCTGTTACTTCGGCACGCAGGCCGGAAATCAATACAATGTAAAAAAACATTAAAATTAAAATGACAAAGATAAAAAATACGACAGAAAGACGCGCACCAAAACATTCACAACACTTTAAAATAAGGCATCCGTTGCCGGCCGCTATGGAGGTGGATCATAGGTAGGCGTTCCAGTTTCAACGTCTTCTCCATACGGAACGCCCGAATGCCGCGTGAATCGATGATCCCCATTTGAGGACCGAATGGACGCAACTAGCCTTAAGGCTGTGAGGAATTGCTATCGCGGTAGCAATTTTGTGATTGCATCGAGGCCGAACAACTCGCGCGCCGATCACAATCGGCTCAACCTCGAACTCTCTCCCCGGCCATCGATTTTGTGCGGCCTGAAGAAATTTTTCATGGTTGTACACGGCACATTTCGCCACATGGGAGGTCCCAAGATTTTGAGACCCCTCCCAGTTGACCCCTACATCGCAGATTAAGGTTCTATTTGCTTGGTGAACTACGATGTCGGGTTTGAAGAGAGTCCCGTCGGGGTGACGGACGTTTGGCTCTTCCTCCACGCTCCACTTTTTCCTACAATGGCGGGCGATTTTTCCAACCACCTCGTTATGGCGTGTAATTCTCTCCCAATGTGTGGCCGGACACTGTTGCAACACGTGCGAAATGGACTCAACTTTGGCACATCCAGCTCGACAACCACGGGCCTCAACGGGGTTGGACATGAGGCCCGCAACCGGAAGGTTGTTGTTGCGGAGCTGGATGGCCCTAACGTAATCGTGTCCGGTCCACCCATTGGTTTTGTTCGTTATCCACGACCGTGAGGCAGAGTCCTCTTCGGCCTGTTGCAGGCCGCTCACGGTCGGCGCGTTAATTAGTTGTTAACGCCATAATTGGTGGCTGGGAACATCGCCGCCAAGGAAGTACAGTCGCTGAGCTAAGTTCATGCAGTCTTTGGACTGTAGAGTCGCGGAGAGAGCCAAGTCGTCCGACCTGTCGAGGAGTTTAACTAGTCGGCGAAGATAGAGCTGAGGTAAGTGAGTACGGAGCTCCAGGATCCCAAAACCACCATCCCTCAACCTAGCGTGGAGGGCAGGATCAGGCGTGTGTATATTTAGATGGGATTCTGTAGCCCGTACTGGAGTTTTCGAATGATGATATCTCTTACAATAGCCAGCTTCTGATCTGGCTTGAGTGGAGCCTTTTGCACTCGTCCCAGCCAAAGTGGGAGGTTAGAGAGACTGGACTTCATAATACCGGTAGCGTTGACATTGTGTCTCAGATATTTGAAAGAATTTAATTCGTCTGCTACCGGTATGTATTCCCCTCCAACCTTGAACTGTGGCTGGGATCGAGTGACGAACTTGTCACGGACTCTCTCAAAACAGACGGAGGCGCACTTCGCGGCGTTGAGAGCCATGCCTCTTGCCTCGAAGAATTCCTCCGTCCGGTTGAGCATCCGCAGCACGTCCGTAGGTTTGTCTGCCATTAATATAATGTCATCGGCGAAACCTAGAGCTGACACGCGGACATCTTCGGCGATTGTGCCTCCCTGTGTGTCCGCGTTAATCATATCCAGGTATTCGTCGATCACCATATTAAACAGAAGCGGGCTAAGTGGATCTCCTTGTTTAACCCCGCGTCGGATGTTAATATCCCTGCTCTTCTCCTCGCCGACTTTGATTTTAGTTTGAGCGTTATTTAGTGAGCTCATAATATATTGAATTGTTCCGTCCTCGATACCCATTCTCTGCAAAGCTCGTAAAATAGAGAAATAGGAAACCGTGTCGAACGCCTTTCTAACGTCCAGAGCCACCACGGCGAAACTCTTTCGCCCCTGACGCCTCCTACGTATGTATTGGTCAACTATGGTCGCGTTTGCTAACGTACCGTCTACATCCACGAAACTCCGCTGATTAAGGTTGAAAGAGGTCGAGGCTTTGAGCTGATTCGATAACGCGCGATGCATTAGGCGCTCTAATGCAGACCCGATTGTAATAGGCCGGTAATTGTTTACGTCCCTTCGATCCCCGTTTTGGAAGATCATCGTTGTGGGCAGATTTCTGAAGCGCTCCATTCGGACGCCCCGCATGAAAATAACGCTGAAAAGAACCGCAAGCATTTTGTTGTTAATTTTTCTTACCTGATTCACCCGTAAACCATCGGCACCGGATGCCGAGTTCGGCCAGTTGGCCTTGGCCGTACTAATGTCTTCCACTAAGAAGGGGCGGAAGGTAGGGGAAGAAGTCGTCTTGGGATGGGTGACCGTCTCCTCGTCCGGTGGCGAGATGCTCTCCAGCAACCCCCCAAAGAGATTTACCACGTTATCTAAACTCGGGAGGACATCGGGTTCATTTATCGGACGGCCGGCCAGCAAGAATTTTATCCGCGAGACCAGAGCGATTCTTGCCGTAGAGATCCTGAACTTTTTTGTAGGTCGAAGCCCGATCATCACGGCCAGTATAGCTCTGGTCGTAAGTTTTGCCGATGTTTTTGGCGCGTTTACCACGCTTCTTGCTGGTAGAACCCGTTATCCTCCCCCTTGCTGATGTTGCCTGGCCCCTTAGGGTTCCCTTTTCGCGGGGCAGTGACTTCGATGATCCATTTTTCGATAAAGGACGCTAGATCGTCTCCGTCACGCTCCAGGGAACCCGTTATTAAAACTGATAGACTTCTGTCTGAGGGATCTGTCAGAGAGAGCTCCCGCCGGTGATCCAGCAGGTAGGTTCGGAGCTCTTCTGGGATCCCTCTGTCTGGGTGAGGCCCAGGCATAAGACCCGTAGGGGATGATATTATTTCCCTGTTGGAAGTTATATCGACAGAAGTCTGTGTAGGGGTTTTCAGTAGTGGATGTCTCTTTGCAGGGTTGTTGGGTTGCGACCAGTCTGGCGAGAGACTGTCGTCCATCCGAGGACGTTTCCTTCCTGGCGAATCACGCACAACCGACACTGAGTTCACTATTGCGGCGCGCACTGCACGTGATGGTATAGCCAGTCCCAAAGATGGACCGGGTTCTTGAGAATTGTGGAACCCGGGAGAACTAGCTATCGCTTGCTTGAGTGGGCGATCCATTACAATTTCACTTGGGACATCATCGGGAACACTATCAAGCGACCTTGCCGAAATGTCTGTAGAGGGAAATGGGAGACTGGCGGACGATGTTGGTGCCTTTTGCACAAGAGGGGGGTCGTGGATGGTCTTGGCCTTTTATTTGTTTTTGAGGATAGTAGCGTCGAAGTTCTTAGGTTAGCACGCTCATTCCTCAGTAGTTCCTTATACTCAGGCTTTTTCCTCCTGTGCCTTACTTGATACTTGGTAAGACCAGTGGCCTTAGATAGCTCTACCAGGACATGGCTCATTGGGGACAGGCGTGCTTCCCGTTGGGCCATGTCTTGGAGTATCTCGACCACTGACTTACCAGCCTCTTTATTTGTACCCTTGGTCTCCTCGTTCCGATGCATACGCGTCTCATGTTGCCCAAGACCTAGAAAAGTGTCGAATGTAGCGGGACAGTACAAGAACTCGGTTTTATCCCGCTTTCCGCAGGTCTTTATATGTTTAGCAAAGCCGCTTTTTGTCAGATATCCTCTGTCACAATTGGGGCACGTATACTGTTGAATTTCTTTATCTTGCGTGAGGGGGGGAGGAGTGGCCGTAGAGCTGGCTCTCCCCTTTTTGTTTAGGTCGGTGACCCCCTCTGTGAATTCAAATCTTTCTGATTTGTTGTCGATGGGAGACTCTCCCTCCTACTTCTTTGGACAGAAGTCGAATATTTTCCGTTACAAGTTGTTCAATCAAAACATAATAAAATAACATCCTGTACATCAAATTTTAATTTATTTCACCATAAATTAAACAGTTGAAATTAGAACGATTTCTGGTCGGCGAACCTGAATACTGCAACTCAGCCAAAAATATCTAGTTCGTTGTTTAATTAATTAGCAAAGTTTTGTTATTTTATTTTTAATATTGTTGAAATTTGTTTAATAATAATAGTTTATAAAATGTTAATTTTGTTAAAAATTTTTTAACCCCCGTTTCGTCTATCCAACATCCTTAAAATTAATATAATTATTATTAAAAAATAGCCCTTATTTTTTAATACAAATTATTCACAAGTATAGAATAATTTTTGAGTAGAATGAGAAATTGCTCTAAGTCCGAGTTTTACCTTGGACTTAGAGCGAAATATAATATTACGTCGTTTAATAGTGTCCTGGTCAGTGACTTGCTTACTGTGTTTGTGGAGTAATTGGTGCCGAATCAAAAAAAAATACAGGTACGAATTCATTTTTAACAAATTTCTTATAATTATTTTGACATTTTTCCATAAAAATATCGGTTGGCTGTTGTTTTATTCTAAATATTGAAAGTGTGTTTCTCAAAAGCAGTTTATAGGTTAGATAAACGTTTGCGTCCTAGAACAAGTCGAGCAGCGTTGCCAACTTTTTGTTATGATATCTGCTAAAAGTTCGCATTTTATAAACGACTGAGAGCGCGCGCGCGCCTTAGTCAAACTTGCATACTCTTAGGCGATATTTTAAATTTCGTGGCGTTTATTATAGTAGCGAAATGGGAAGATATACAAGGAAGACTGAACGAAAATTAATATTTACTGAGGAAATCCTTAGAGGATCAAGGGAAAGAATTGCAAATGGAGAAAGCCAAAGACAAGTAGCAGTATCTATGGGTACAAAGGAATCTACTCTTAGAAAAAAGCGGTAAAAATAAAATAAAAACGAAAATTCAAGTATACAATATTTTCTTATAAGGGACTGCACCGAGCAGCCTTGGACGGTTTAAGCCAGTTTTTACAAAAGAAATGGAAAGAGAATTGGCGGATCATTGTCGAGACTTAGATTGCAGATTTTACGGAATAGGAACCAAGAATCTTAGATGTCTGGCATTTCAATATGCTGACCTCAACGGACTTGGTCATCATTTCAATAAAGAAAAAAAGATGGCTGGGAAAGACTGGGTTTATGCTTTTTGTAAAAGGCAAAAACTTTCTTTGCGGTGTCCTGAAAAGTGCAGCGTTGAAAGAGCTATAGAATTTAATAAAGAACAAGTCGGGCTATTTTTTAGAAATCTGAAAAAGGTGTTTGTTGAAAAAAAATCCCTCCCCATCGAATATTCAACATGGACGAGTCGGGACTTTCCACCATCCCTAATAAGATTCCAAAAGTGTTTGCAACAAAAGGAAAAAGACTAGTCGGTAAAATTGTTTCTGCAGACAGGGACCAAACACTTACGGTTGTCTGCTGCATGTCC